ACATTGTGTCACTTTTTTATTTTACACAGTAGTTTTTACTTCCTAAAAACCTTTCACATGATTTTTCAAAACACCCCTAATTTTAAGGGTATTTTTGTATGTACCCCAATAAAAAATGGTCCAAAACTTGAACCGGCCCAGCCCAACTAAACAAGCCAACCATTTCCCACCTTCATTTTCCCCCAAACCAGAGAGCAGCTGTGGAGGCGAAATCGAAGTTCGAACTCCAGCACCCCGTTCATCTTGACCGGAGTAAGAAGCCGGTTGAAACGCCATTCACGATTCCGACGGAGTCTCGCAGCCACCTTTCATTTTCAGTTTCAATTTGGTCGATCGACGAAAACCCTTGGGTATCAAAGAAATCGAAGTTCGAAGTCCCGCACTCCCTCATCTCGACCGGAAAAAGGAGCAAACGGCATGAATCAAACAAAATGTATAATTCCACATTTTGTTCATTTTACTGTGTTCGAAAAACACGGTGTTGTACACTGTTATACTGTAGCGTAATCGATTTTTATCAAATTTTCATGAATTCATAATTTTTATCAAATATTCAACTACATATTTATCAAAATTTAAGTAATGACTAATGAGTTGTACTTCTGCTGTGCAGTTGGAGAAGGAACTTGTGACGAGGCTCGACATAACATTTCTAGTTATGCATGTAAAAGTAAGAATTCCTATTGTTCTGCACCCGATAATGGTTATGGGTATCGTTGTCATTGCCAGGAAGGTTATGAAGGAAATCCATACCTCTATGATGGCTGTAAAGGTGTGGCTATATATATATTTTTCCCAATATTATCTTGAAGTCATACATATAACTCTCTCATTGAATGGCCAAGCGTTTTTTACAATTTATTGAACTATATAAGTTAACAAGATTTTAACTTCATTTTCTTTTTTATTATTGATATTTTTGTTATGCAGATAGATACTGATGAAGGAGAAACTCAGAACCGCACTTCAATAATGAAATAGCCGTTGCAATTGAAAACGACATCGATAAACAAAATCAAACAAAATAAAAGAGCGGTAGCCCGCCAACCGTACAAATTTTGAATCTTACCGACTTAGAACACAACGGTAAATTTTCTTCATTATATACACAAATTTCACATAATCAGAAAGCCCAACTTCCCTCAATTTCTCTCCAACGGCACAAATCTGAAATCATCTTCCTTTTCTTCATAGTATATCAATTTGGTTAGAGAAGACATTTT